AGCATTAGCTGGAGGCTGTTGCTCGTATCGGTGATCGGTGGATTGAGGTTCCGGATTCTGGAGATCCGGGTCTCTCCTGTTCGGTGAGCCATCGATTTGGATCACGAGATCAGGGATGGATGGGCTCGGTGCCTGGTTGGATGGATCCATTCTCAAGTTACGGAGTGAAGGATTCAATTATCTCGTCCCCACAGACGGCGCCAAAATGTGAGGGGTAAAACTCACTCTCTAGTTTAGGTTAGGTTTAGATTGGGGAAAAGACAATCGTGGGCTAAATCCTATTAGAACTTAAAGAATGAATGTGATTGTATTTGATGAACAAGAGTTACAAAAATGATTAAAACGAATACAAAGAAGTCACTTGAGTCCTTCGTGAATGATAATGTATGTGAAAATTTATAAAGAGTGTGAATCCCCTTTCTATTCATTTCTTCTTTCTTTAAATAGCCTCAGGTCACGTTTAACCTCTCCTGATTAGTCTCCGAGATTGCCTCCGTAAACTGAGGGATTCGCAACAGCTTCCTTTTGACCGAATCATACGCCTCTATCTTCGTATCCTAGGCTGTTTTATTAGGTTCCTGCAAGAGAAGCCGGACCTCTTCTTCGTGACCTCTTTCTCGTAACCTCTTTTATCGAAATCCTTGGAAGTAGCCTCCGTCCTTAGGTGAGCTTCATTCTCCTTTGAAATGATAACCCACGCGCGGCCCATTATTAGACTTGGTTTAACTGATCCGCTAATTTCAGCTAACGGGCCATATTTGGGCCCAACAACGATCACAACTATGACGCTTGGAGAGAACTCTTTCTCACCCACTGTCAAACGTTTGATGTTTCTGGCCATATGGATGGCACTCTTCTTTCTACAGACGGCAACGATCAACAATGGGTCAAGAGAGATGGTCTGGTCAAGTTATAGCTCAATGGTACTCTCTCGAAAAATCTCTTGAACAGTTCTTTCATTACCGGTTGTACCTCATGTCAAAAGGTTTCTTGACAAAAAAAATCCAGACATAATATATACTCCCTCCATCTACCACCCTCTTCCCCAACAATATTTTTAGAATAATCATATATATAAAAAATATGATAATTATATAATTAGATTTATTATTTATTTCTACTATATATTTTTAACAATTATCAATGAATATTTTTAAATATTTATCAATTAATGTGAATTATATTAATGAGGAAGAGTTTGTATTTATTCAAAGTGTAGTATTTTCCGATTAAGAATGTCCCTTTCTTTGTTGTTATCACCCTCCATTCTTATCTTTCTGAATCCTTGACTCCAACACTGTTGCAGCGCCATTAGTATAGTTTGCAATTCACTTTCTAGTGCACATTGAACTGATCTTCCTACCGCATGTACCGCGCCTCTATAAACTCCATGTTCATCACGTATTACCCATCCTGCAATGCTTGGTAACTCTGTATTAACAAACGACCCGTCCACATTACATTTCAACCATCTATTCTTTGGCTTTCTCCACCGCTTTTCCAACACTCTCCTCTCTTGCTCGTCATTCTTGCGCATGTCTGTTTCCCTTGATCTCATGACATTTGATTTCCATTCTTCAACATCTCCTTTTGCATATCTAGAGCATCTCCAACCACACTCCATAATTTACTGCAAAATGGAGTGAAAAATGGAGTGATGAAGAAATAAAAATCTCATTACTCCATATATAGAGTAATCACTTTTTTTATTTGTTCATTATTTCATTTTCCACTCTATTTTGCAGTTAAATATGAAGTGAGGTTGGAGATGCTCTTAGACTTGATATACAAGATATCTGTTTACGTTGAAAAAGTAAGATATTTCAGCTTTTCCAGAGTCTCCATAATATCCATAATGGCAGATCTTGAAAATGATCCAATCTTGGCTGTAAAAAAATCATCAAGCATGCAAACAGTAGAAGGCTCACCACTAGTGCTTGATTAGCGATTTTTATCTCAAGAAGAGCTCTGCTTTCCATCGCTTTCGTCACCATATAAGACAACACTTCAGCACATAATTGAAAAGAAAAGGAGATAGATGATCTCCTTGCCTTATACCTCTCTTTGGTATTATACAACCTTCTGAACTGTCATTTATCAAGATTGAAAATCTGACCGTAGTAACACATGCCATTATCCGAATCCATTTGCTGTGAAATCTCATCTTCGTCAAAGTTGTTTCCAAGAATTTCCACTCAATTCTATCATAAACCTTAGTAATATCGGTTTTAACCGCCATATAGGATATAGCATGTTGCTTTCTAATTTTGAGGCTGTGGAAAATCTCATGAGCAACCATAATATTATCAGAAATGAGTCTCCTTGAGATGAAGGCATTTTGGTTCTCCGAAATGATACCACTGAGATGAGGTTTTAATTTATTCTCCAAAACCTTTGAAATTATCTTGTATGCAACATTGCATAAAGTTATTGGTCGAAACTCTTTCATTTCAGATGGTGGACAGATCTTAGGTATTAGACACAAATGTTAATTTTAGAGTTATAAATACCTGTTTATCTCTTTAAAATCACAAATAGATGTGGTTAAGGTTAATATGAAAAAAAATACTAAGAAAGTGCTAGTTTTAATAATTTCTAAGATAAAATCTATTGGTGGAGTACACTTTATTTTGGAAAGTCTGAGATTTTAAATATATGAAGGATATCCACATGTTAAATAAAAATTATACAACTTATACATCAATTAAGAAAAGTAATTTAAAGTTTAGAAAATTTTATTATTGTGGATATTAAAATTTTAATTTCAAAGATGCAGAGAATATCACTTATAGTTGGTCTTGTTTATTATGAGAACAATACATTTTTTTACTTTTAGTTAACCTCTTTTAAAACTTACTTTTAGTTAATTTTTAAGGCTGTTTTTTTTTATCATTATAACATATGAACTATGAAGTATATAAACACTACTTTCAATACACAGTTCTATTATCAATGAGGAATGATTTGTACATTCACCATGTAGTCAGTGGACACTAATCTTTGTAGTGATCTTAAGATCCACAAGGATATGTAGCAATATATCAGATTTGTTTTTTCTTTTTAGTTTTCTATATCTAATTAGTTTATATGTTTATGGCGAACGACAATAGTTAGATGCAAGAAAATACCTGAACGGTTGGGATATGGGATAGTTGGTGATAGGGCATGACTGACATTTACCAGTTCCCTCCCACTTATAACCGGTCAACCACCAACTCGAGTCGGTTAATGTAGCTTGACGGCATTGAATGAATTTCATGATGCATGAGGCAGCACGTCACTAATATGTAAAATCAAATAATATCTTCTTTTTGCATCAAAGTCAATAAAGTAAGTATGTAACCACGATGCACTAACCAAACCGTATTTTGTGTTTAAACCGATGTGACGTGTCGTTTTCGTGGTGCGTATAGTTGGTGTAATTACTGATTAGTGGGGGTTTTTAGCTCATCGACCACTACTGAACCTCTAATCAATTTATAGCTCACCTTATTTTTAGATCTAAGATTAATATGTTATTTTTTGGGACTCTGTATTTTGGTTTTCTTTCTCTTTTTAAAATCTTTGCATTTCATGTAAGAAAAAAAAATTATGAAAGTCTTCTAAAAAAAAAAAAGTCTTTAAAAACAAGCAACTGGGTCTTTCCTGATAAATTGTATAGTGCTTTCTCTCTCAGATAATGAAAAGGGGATGTAGCTCAAATGGTAGAGCGCTCGCTTTGCATGCGAGAGGCACGGGGTTCGATCCCCCGCATCTCCACAGTTGTTAACTTTTTTGTTTTTAAGTTTACAAGCCCAGACCCAATCTGATCAAATAGCCCAATCTCTCAACGCAAGCCCTACTTTTTGTAGCAAATAGTGAGGAAAGGGGCAATTACGTAATTATGATGAAGCGAATTCGCAAAACCCTAGCCCCTTCCTCACCCCCCATATAGTACAAAGCGCAGATAATATATATTTTCACTCCGCCGTTTGGGTAGACACAGAAAAGCAAAGATGCAGATCTTCGTGAAAACCCTAACGGGGAAGACAATCACCCTCGAGGTCGAATCGTCCGACACCATCGACAATGTCAAGGCCAAGATCCAGGACAAGGAAGGCATCCCTCCGGACCAGCAGCGTCTGATCTTCGCCGGGAAGCAGCTGGAGGACGGACGCACCCTCGCGGACTACAACATCCAGAAGGAGTCGACACTCCACCTCGTCCTCCGTCTCCGTGGTGGCGCCAAGAAGAGGAAGAAGAAGACGTACACCAAGCCCAAGAAGATCAAGCACAAGCACAAGAAGGTGAAGCTCGCAGTGCTCCAGTTCTACAAGGTTGATGGCTCGGGTAAGGTCCAGCGTCTGAGGAAGGAGTGCCCTAATGCAACGTGTGGCGCTGGGACTTTCATGGCTAGCCATTTCGATCGTCACTACTGTGGTAAGTGTGGTCTCACTTACGTTTACCAGAAAGAAGGTGCCGAAGCATGATCTCGTTTCTCGTTTAGATCTCTCTGTCTTTTGAATGTTTTTTTTTTAATTTTGAAACTTTGAAGTGTTTTTGATGTTATGCTTCTTATGTTGAACATCTTTTATGGATAATATGCTTTGCTTTTCCTTTAATGCTGGTTAAAGTGATGCTAATTACTACCTTCGTTAATCATACGTTCAAATCTTAACTACACAAATAAAGATTACCAGAGATTATTACGTCGGATTAGGGGTTTAGCAATAAGCATTTGGGAATAGATAGGAGAAGCATGAGTCCTTGAATTTTACGAGTGCCGCATAAGCTCCGTAGCAGGGGATGTGAACTAGTGACATGCATAAGTACCTGAGAATGTTTTGTATTGTTCATTAGTGTAACACAATTACAGTTGTTTCAGAAAATGTATGTTCTTGTGTACCATAGTGGAGCCCATGGTCTATCAAGCTCAAGGAATGGATATGGCCACCTGAGAGTAGACGGGGTTTGTCAATTATCTCGGTTAGAATATAGTTTTCATTCAGTTAGGTTGTCCTTTAGGATCTACATAGTAGATGATCTCTGCTTTCCAAGTTAATAATCCATATGCGTGGATGATCCATTGGAAGACAATGTAGAGACAACTCCATAGCACGAAATATCCCATCCGAAACCATGGGAATGGCTGAAACAAAGAACAAAAAGTCATCTGTTTTGCCACTTGAAAAAAAAATCTCTGCTTTTGTTTATTTCAAATTGCTTACAAGGCTATTTAGTAGAGTGTCGACCAGGAGGAAGCCTGCATTCGCCGTATGTATGCAAATCATCAACTGCTTTAGCATAAATCTAGCAAGTTAGGTCTGTAAATCCTACAAATCAAGCCCATTTTTGACTGAGAGATTCGTTGAATGTTGTTGTCACCGTGTTTACGCCGAGGTGGGTGTTTGAGAGGAAAGGAACTATAACAAGCCAAAACACACCGTCGGTGAGCACCACAGCTCCTGCGCTTGTCTGCCACACAAATTCAACACCAGCATTAATTTGTCTCTGAAGGTGTATGAAGCAAAGTCTTGGCGTCTGTGCTGACACTGACCTGAAAAATTGTCTCCATGAAACAACCATAACTATCTAATCTTCTTCTGAAGTCATGACCTCCTATCATGTTTGCAACTGTATCTTCACTAGTTTCCAATGTTGGCTCTTTGGAATATTCCAAGCAACCATATAATGAAGCTACAATCCCCATCTGCAGAGAAACCGATGAATGTACTCAAAAACAAGATTTATCAATTATATTCAAAAAGCCTCAAGGAGCGAAGACATACAACAAAGTAGATCATCACAAGCATGAAGGTCCATCTGTTACAAAACCAAGCAATACAAGTCAAAGGATAAAAAATTGGGTCGGGTTAAAATCAGAATTTTAGGTTAAACCACTAAATTAAGAAGAAAGTTCACTCAGTGTAATAGACGAAGATGCTTGCGTCCCACTTCAAGACGTCCCAAGCCAATAAAGCAGCCATGGAGAGAAAAGAGATGGAACGCGTGAAGAGAAGCCAGCCAGGATGTAACCCTCTCCAGCAGCTCGTCCATAACCGAGCCAAACCAAGGCTCTCTGACCCTGATCTAGGCTGTAGCAAGCTATTGTGCGTCGTATCTTCAACGTCTATGCAGCCTCTTTCTCTGCGCAACAGAAGCCACAAGGACGCAACGATTGCAGCCAGTACTATACCAAAGCAGATGAAATCGTACCAGTAAACGATCAGCGCCATAACCTACTGCTGATGAAAATTTGTTAGTTGGTTGGTTGGTCTCTTTGGTTGTTGTGGGTTGTTTTTGATGTGTGACCACCCGCAGTTTTGACCGTTTGGTATACTCGTGTAAAATTGAAGGTTAGATATGTCTGATCAAACAAGCTTGTAAAAATAGTTGTTTAGTTTATTGTTCTCCAATATGTTCAATAAAAGTTTATGATCCTCCAGTTGCTTGGATAAAGGAATCACGGATGGATGTTTCCATATAAAAGTACATCTTTCTGGATGAATATTATAATTCTGAAATGGAATATGATGTTCTGTACTGAAATATGAGGGTCAATTACTAAAATCTTCTTTTATAAATAATTTAAACTAATGATCTCAGGGAGTATTCAACTGAGAGTTTTTGTTGATGTGTATTAAAATGAAAAATACATTTTTATTCAAACATGAATTTTAAAAACTTATTTAATGTCTACTGTTCATGAGTTTTTGGTGATTCATATTAAAATGATAAACCACTTTTATTCAAACATAAATTATAAAAACTTATTTAAATCTAATGTTCCTAAAGTTGATTTCTTAAGGAGTCTTCTTTTTTTTTAAACATTGGCATATTTTTGTATTTAAATTTTTTTTGATAATACAAATAAAAATTCTCTAGAAATTTTTTGATTAATTTGAGAATAACATAATAAAATGCGAGAAGACTTCATAAATTTTTTATTATTAATTTTTACAAAACTAATATACGCAGATTTCTTACTACAGTGAGAAGACTTCATGTAACAGTAAAAAAGATCGATAAATCTTCCAAAGTCTTCTATATAAAAATAAATTTCTAACAAACTTCGGTAATTGCAAAATTAACATATTTATCTGAGAAACTTCTAGAGAAGTCTACTCATTGTTTTTGTTAACAAATAAAAGTTAAAAAATTTCTAGAGAAATCTTATATATAAAAAATTATAAAATCAATTGCAAAATAATTTATGCATTGACTAGAAGGCTTCTCTAAAAATCTTTCTCAATGGAGAAGACTTGTAAAGAAATCTTCTTTGCGAAATAATTCTGAATTAAATCAAATATCATTCTTAGATCCATTAAGATTTATGTTTAGTTTCTCCAAATAAGATTACTTTTGCATTCGATTTTAAATTTTGAATCATATTTGTAAAACTCCTAAATTTTAAATCACAATACTTTATTTAAAGAGACTTAACAACCATTTTTATTACAACAAGTTTTACTACTTAAACATTAGATGGTTATTTTTATTTGGACCGTTATTTATTAAGCATACATTGGCCAAGAGTTTAAAACCCCAAATTTTTTTATTTATTTAGAGAGGCTTAACTACGCTAAACCTACCATCCAGAACTAGATTATAATATAAATAGAATCATCAGAAGCAAGAAACAAAGCAGCCTCCGCCACGTTATTAGGTTTCAACACAACACCTTTCAGACTTCCCATGGCTGCACAATATCCCTCCACCTGCTTCGCCGTCTCCTTATCACGGCGAGTTTTCAATTTTTTAGATCTCCGGTGATTCGCTCATGGCTACGGGTGACTCAGTGGGAGTCCTTCTCCAGCGTTGATCTACCCCCCTTGCAAGGCGGTGAAGCGTTCGAAGGGGGGTTTGGCGAGCAGCAGTTAGGGTTCGTTTCTCTCCCGTTCTTGGAGACGTCGTGTCGCAAGGCTTCCTCAGTCGGACTTGTCTCCTGGTGGTGGAGGCTTTTCTGTGGCGGATGGTGGGACCTTTCTTCCCAGAAGTGGTGGTTATTTTTCGGCTTCTCCGATGGTCGGGTTCCACTTCTTGATGCTTCGATTCTTTTCTGGTTGCGTGTTTCTGTTATCGGGTCCACTCTCTGTTTTTCAAGTAGTTTTGGTGGATGAGCTGGTGATGATGGGTCTTCTCCTCCGGTTTATACCCTCCCTCCTCCGCCGCATTGAAATTGAAGTTGCTGCTTTTCTTTCATTGTAAGGTTTCTCATCTCTTCTGCTCTCTATGTGTTTGACCTACTACACGCTTTGGGCTGCTTGTGTTTTGTATGTGGATTTTGGATTGGCGGTTGCTGTGGCTTGTGTGGTTTGACCTTTTTGGTGGTCCTTGGTTTTGCGTCTCGGGTCGCACTCCTTGTATGTGTTCAGGGTTTGGTCTCCTTGGGAATTTGTTCATACATTTTAAGCCGTTAGGTTCTGCGTTACCTGGCATCTGGTCGGTTCTTGCTAGCTTTGTGGAGCTGAATCTAACGCTGCTGATATTGCGTAAGTTCTTGTGGTTCTAACTATTCTCGTGGGGATGGTTTTGTAACACCTGTCACCTCCTATTTGGAGGACAGGCCGTCACCCCGACACGTCATCATACAACAATGTGACACCCGTCTCCTTCTCTCTAAGGACGATGGGCCACCAACAACATCTTGTAATATAAAAGCCCATATACCCGCTACACTCACCATAAGCCCAAATAAAATCCGTATAAAAGCACAATAGCACCAAGTCCGTCCAATATCACATAATTGTTTGTCTCACTTGAAACGGGGAAGAGAGAGGGGTGAGCGACTGGAGAGTCACTCAGTGAGGTAATGGATGCTACCCCGAAGTCCGTGGACCAGCATAGCACTCTGAATAAATATAAATTAATTTTAATACATATCAAGCACGGCACCCAAAGTACCCAAACAACAAACAATGGTCCTAGCGAGGTGCGCACTCGCTGCCCACTAACAGGCCAACAACGCTGGGATAATGCCCAGTAACACCGCCCCAAAAAAATTTATCTACCACACTAGGCTACGGCCCGGCCGCTCGACTGAAGCCGTCTGTAGCCTCCATCACCCGAAAATACAAAATTACGTCTCTGTACCCGTCCCAAACAATTCTAACTAAAAAGTTACATTAAGTGAAGCAATCAATGTTGGACCATCTGACACCCTAATTTCGGTTTAAGCAAATAATCTAAATAACTAACCAAAGATACACCAATTAGACCCTAAAAGACTTAATTAACGCAGGCGGAACATATTGGAAATAAAATATAATTAATTGAAATCCTAAACCATGTACGAGAATTTCAGGAGTAGACCCTCACCTTAGAAATAGAAAAAGTGGTATCTATGAACTCCAGCTCCTCAAATAGATCCCAAATATGAAATCAGATCGATATTTTGAATCAGAACGCCCTTCTAACGGTCAAAAACGGGTGTCTACGAAAATGACAACCCGCTGGCCAAAGGTCAACCCGATCAACTCTGACCTAAGCCGGTCAACCCTTGACTAGATTGAAATCAAGTTGAACTAACCGGTTTTCCTTAACATGGTTTGATGTCAATTGGACCAGATTCAAATCGATTGCAACCTGGTTTAATCCTAACCAAAATATTTTTTTAAGAACCAACCGGTTTAACCCTAACCGATCTAAGTTAATTTAAACCGGTCAAATCAGTCAAACTACCGGTTTACCGAGTCAACTCGGCCGAGTTGGCCGAGTCACTGGCGAAGGTCATCGGCAGCGATGGCGGAGGGCGGCGGCTGCGTATCCAGCGGAGAGGCGGCAGTCCGACGGTGGTGACACGGAGGTCCGGGGGCTGCGATGCGGCGGCACGACGGTGGTCCGGCGGTTGCGCGTGAAACGTACGCGCGCACACGGCAAAACTTCAGGTGGCGCGTGCGGCTTTGTCTGGGTTCTGATTGAGGCTTGGTTGGTGGCTACGGCTTTGTCTCGATGAGTAGAACACGGTGGTGGTCTTGCATGCACGAGATTCTCAACGGTTAAGAAGTTATGCCTAATTTACTAGACGACCTGAAACTAACTCAAGCACAAGGTGGTTTCCGGCGATCTCTGGTGGTTACCAACGGCGGTGACGAGCTCGACGTGTTCCTGGCGTGCGGCTCCGACGATCTCTGGTGGCTTAGCCTCCATGGATTTCCCCACTCTTCTTTTTGAACTCTCTTTTTCTCACTCTCTTTATCTTTAAGTTTCTATTTTTTTGTAGGTGAAAAAAACAAAGGTGAAGAGAAGGTGGGCTGAGATTAAAATATTTTGGGCTTTCTGGAATTGACATGGGCCTTTGATGGGTCAAAATATGATGGGTTGGAAATGGGTCGTTACAAATTCTCCCCTACTAACAAAAAGTTCTTCCCCGAATTCGAATCATCCATTGACTGCCCAAAATCATCATAACAAACCTCTGAATAAACAATAGATTCGTCTCTCAGGTCTTTTCCTAAACCTCATCTCTCTCCTATGAACTCTGACAAACACTGGCCACATTCTCTGAAATGCTTTCATTTAACGATCCATATTCTCCACTGACTAACAAGATGCATACAATATCTCCGAGGTCATCTGGCAGATGTTACAAAATAAGCTCTGAATCTGTCACGACTTCCTTAGAAACAAAAACCTTGAAATATGATAGCTTTACTAACGAATCCATTCTGTAAGCAACTACTCCAAGCCACTCCATATATTACGTTTTTTTAGCTTTTAAATTTTATATCCTCTCTGAAATGCCTTTATTTTCAGATATACTCGATCGTCTACCTAAATTTTCAAATCCTTACGGTTTGTATATTCATAACTCTTCTGACGGTCATGAGATTCCTTAAGCCAAAATTTGAGCATGTCCATTTGTTCTACTGTCTCTTGAACCATTAATGGGTTCTATCTCACGTTGTTCCCCCACTTTTGTGCGGAAAAGTGGTGTACGTTAAGCCATATTATAAAAAGATTCATATGGCACTATCTCAATACCTTAATTGTAACTGTCCCTGTAGGCAAACTCTGGTAGGGGTAGACGCTTCCATAACTTCCTTTCCACTGTAAGACACAATCTCTGAACATATCCTCAAAAATCTGAATGGTCCTCTCTAACTGACCCAACTCAAAATAGATCTTTGCCCCAAGCGCCTTTTGATAGACCCTCCACATGTAGACGTGAGTTGACATCATGATCCGATACAATGCTCACAAGAATTCCATGCAATCCTTATAGTCTCTCTGATGT